CTGAGAATAAATTGCTTGATTGTTTTCTCAAGTATGTTGGAGTTTAAATAGTTTTTGCAAGTAATCCTAAAAGGAAAGAAAAATAATTCCTATTTTTAATTACACAGTTTTAAGGATTCTAAACCTTTCCCATATTTACAACGAATGAGCTCTTGCCATACTAATAATTTCTCTATTGGTAACTCTCTGTCAAGTTGGAGTGTACATATTGTATGCTCTTAATATGCCACTAACACACTAAATTCTGGAGCGACGTGAGTGACTTTGTCAGAATAGCTGCTAATTGTTCACTCGGTTTGATAAAAGCTGCCGAAGTGCACCTTTGACTCAAACTTTTGCCGAATGAATGACAATGTACTTCTATATGCTTTGTTCTCTCATGAAATACTGGGTTTAGAGCAATGTGTATTGCAGCTTGATTGTCACAGATCAATTGCGTTGGTGCATCTCCTCCACACCTTAACTCTTTAAGAAGTTGCTTTAGCGACATAAGCTCACATGTAGCCTAAGCCATTACTTGGTATTCTGCCTTTGCGCTTGATCTAGTTGCTACATCTTGCTTTTTGCTTTTTTGGTGTAATAGATTTCCTCCTATAATAAGACCACAGTTCTGGTTATCAAAAAAAAAAATAAGACCACAGTTCTAGTTACACAATTATTTGGATTCTAAACCTTTCTCATAGTTATAAGAAATGGGCCTTGTGACAATTGTTTCAACATTGAACTTTTCAAGTGAGTTTGCAGACTAAAAACTAATACATTTTGAATTTACACAGGTATTTGATGCTTTAAGAACAACAATGTTCATTCTTGGAATGATTTCTGTGTTTGTGGGCATTTCTTTGCTAGCACCAGATGAATCAAAAGGTATTGCTACTTTTGATCTCAGGTTCTTGGTAATAAAAATTAAAATGTGCCTAGGGCATGAAAGACTGAACAATAATATCTGCAGGAGGTGAAGTGAAGGATGGTTCTTTAGTTTCAACAACTTCAAATTTGTCGCAGGATGAGGAGAGGTATGTAGTCTAGACCTTATTAGGCAGACGTTGGTTATTGGAGATTGAATAGTAAATTCTTGCTTTTATCTTGTCTTTAATTCCTAATGGTTAAAAGTGCTTAGTAATATGACCTTTATTTCCTAGTTGCTGCCTTTTTATTGGTAAATGTGCACATGCCAGGCTGTTCATGCAATCTGAAGACTCCCAAATTAAGGATAT